GTTCTCCCAGCACCGTTTGCTAAAGAGACTGTCTTTTTTCCATTGGATGCTCTTTCACGTTTTGCCAAAGATTAGCTGGCCATACATTTGTGGGTCCAATTCTAGGTTCTCTATTCTATTCCATTGGTCTATGTGTCTGTTTTTGTGCTAATACCATACCATCTTGGTGATTACAGCTTTGTAGTAGAGGCTTTTTTTTTTTTAATTAATTTATTTATTTTTAGTAATCTCTACACCCAGCGTGGGGCTTGTATTCATGACCCCAACATCAAGAGTTTACATGTTCTTCAAACTGAGCCAGCCAGCATCCCAAGACATTGTTAATTTCTGTTACAGTATTTTTTTATGTCTAGCATTTCTTTTTGATTCTTAGAATTTCCATCTCTGTTTTTACCTTGTTCATGTATTCTTCCATGCTCTCTACTTTACCCACTAGAGTCCTCAGCATATCAATCAATCATAGTTTTAAACTCCCAGTCTCATATTTCAACATCTCTGCCATGTCTGCGTCTGGTTCTGATGCTTGCTCTATCTCTTCCAACTGTATTTTCTGCCTTTCAGTATATCTTGTAATTGTATGCACACACGATGTTGTGCATAAAGGAATGCTGTAAACAGGCTTTTAGTAATGTGGTGGTGAGTTGTGGGGCGAGGGGAAGTGTTCTACAGTCCTAGGAGTAGACACCAGTCTTTTATTGAGCTGGTGCCTCTGGACCATACACTGTAAACCCTGTCAGCTTTTATCTCCCCCTTAGTTTGGGCAGGATGACCAGAGCAGGCTGGAATTGGATGTTTTCCTTCTCTCAAGTTCATCAGACTCTGATAAACTCCAGCAAGTTAAGCTCTGGTTGAAGAGTTTCTCCAGAGAGCAGACCATGTTAAGACGAACAGGATGCTCTGGCATATTTCAAAATGGTTCCCGTTACTGTTAGCATAAGGGGACTCTTCTCTGATGTTCACTGTGAGAACCCGGTCAAGGTCCAGGAAGTAAAACTCACAAAAGTGTGGGATCCTGCCAATGACTATGTTCTCTGGAGATTTTATCTCTTAGACTTGTCCACACCGAACCTCCAACGATCTTTCAGTTATAGTACAGGTTTCCATACACTGGCACTGATTCCTACAAAGGTTTCTGTTCTGGTAAATTGTGATTCTCTGTATTTACCTGTCCACATCTCCAAATGTAAGAGCAGCAGCTTATCCTGTGATGTCACCTCTCTTGCAGGTATAAGAAGAGTTGTTGACTTTTTTGATTTATTCAGCTTTTAACTTGTTCAAACATAGTGTCTTCCAAGCATCATATATGCTGGGCTAAAAACTAGTAGCATTTTTTTGAATATTTTAATATATAGGATCATATGATCTATGAACAGAGAGAGTGCTTGGTTTCTTTTCTTTTTTCCATTCCAGTTTGGATGCCTTTTATTTCTTTTTCTTGTCTAATTCCTCTAGCTAGAGACTCCAGTATAAGTTACATAGTAGTGGTAAAAATGGGCATCCTTGTCTCATTCCTAATGTTAGGGACAAAGTTCTTGGTTGTTCAACATTGAGAATGATGTTAACTGTGGGCTTTTCATAAATGTCTTCCATCGTGTGAATACATTCCCTCCTAGTCCTAGTTTTCTGGGAGCTTTGTTCATGAAAGGATGTTGGATTTTGTGAAATGACTTAATGTGCTTCAATTAAGATGATCATTCCCCCCACTCAGGTTCTATTAATGTGATTTATTTTCTTAACTGAACTACCCTTGGATTCCTCAAGTAAAACCATTTGTCATGGTGCATAATCCTTTTAATATCATTTTGGACTTGGTTTGCTAGCATTTTGTTGAGGATTCATATACATCTATGTTCATTAGGAACACTGGTCTGTAATTTTCTTTTCTTGTAATGTTTTCTTTCTTTTTTTTTTTTTTTTCTTGTAATGTTTTTAATATGGCTTTGGTATCAGGGTAATGCTGACCTTATAGGAGGATGAGTTGAGAAGTACTCTCTACTCTTGTAATCTTTGGAAGAGTTTAAGAGGGACTGGTGTTCATGCTTCTTTAAATGTTGGATTCAATTCACTGAAAGCCTCTGGCCCGGGACTTTTCTTTGTCAGGAGATTTCTTCCTATTGATTCCATCTTTCCACTTGTTATGTCTGTTGAGATGCTCTGGGTTTTGTTGTTGTTGTTTTGTTTTGTTTTTTGAGACACTGTAAGTAATTTGTATGCTTCTAGCTAAAGTTTTGTCAATTTTATTGATCTTTGAAAAAATCAACTTTGGTTTCATTCAATCTTATTATTTTTCTATTTTCATTTAATTAACTCCTCTCTAATCTTTATTATTTTCTTCCTTCTAGCTTTGAGTTTCTTTTGCTCTTCTTCTGATTCCGTAAGATATTAAATTAGGTAACTGATTTAAGATCCTTCTTCTTTTTTTTTTTTAACGTAGTTACTTATGGCCATAAATTTCCCTCTGAGCTCTGCCATACTGCATTGTATGGTCAGTATGGTGTTTTCATAGGATTCCTCTCTAGGTGTTTTCTAATTGCCCTTGATTTCTTCTTTGATCCACTGGTAAAGAGAATCTTGTTTTATTTCCACATATTTATTAACATTCCAATTTTCCTTATGTTACTGATTTTTATCTTCATTCCATTGTGGTTGGAGAAGACACTTTGTATGATTTCAGTCTTCTTACATTTTTGAGACTTGTTTTGTGCCTAACATCCGGTCTATCCTGGAGAATATACCATGTGCACTTGAGAAGAATGTGTATTCTGCTGTGTTGAGTAGAAGGTTCTATACATGTTTGTTAGGTCTAGTTGGTTATAGTGTTGCTCAAGACCTCTGTATCCTTAGGTATCTTCTGTCTGTATGTTCTATGCATTATTGGAAATGGGGTATTGAATTTTCTGTTATTCAAGAATTATTTCTCCCTTCCATTCTATTGAAAACTGCTCCTAATGAACTGAAGATTCCTACACCCTTTTAGAATGGCCAAAATAGGTTTCAAAACCAATTCAAAATAGGTTTACAAGAAATTAAACCAAGAAATTCCAATTTTAAATACCCTCAAGGAAAGACAGTATGAGAATAATCACAGCCAACACTTACTGAGCCTTTACTTTCTGCCAGGCCCTAGGGAAATAATTTTAAATGCATTAGCTTATATACTGGGGAGATTTATGATTATCCCAAATTTATAAATGATACAACAGATTATGAGAGTTTGATCAACAGGTAAATACTTGTGATTCAAAGTTCTCAGTGCAGCAGTGTTTACTACAGAAAACAATAAAGAGCAGACTAGTGGATAGAACACGGCACTGAGTTAGAAAATCCAGGTTAACAATTTTGTTAATGTTTATTTTTTTTGAGAGAGAGAGAGAGAAACAGAGAGTGTGAGTAGGTGAGGGACAGAGAGAGGGAGACACAGAATCCGAAGCAGGCTCCAGGCTCCGAGCTGTCAGCACAGAGCCCGATGTGGGGCTCAAACTCACGAATCGTGAGATCATAACCTGACCCGAAGTTGGACGCTTAACCGACTGAGCCCCCCAGGCACCCCTTGAAAATCCAGGTTTATCACTTTATCACTTATGACTACATAATCCTTAACTCTCCTGGGTCTTAATTTCCTCAAATGCAAATAATCCCTAAGATACTTCCAGTCTTTATGATTCTTGTTTGTTACCCAATCACCTACATGCCGGAAACAAAAGAGTCCCTGACTGAAAATCATTTGAGACAGTAATGCAATACCTTCTATACACTAATCCTGTTTCAGAAGCGTAAGTATATAGAAGAAACATCTCTAGTTTGAAAAAGCTAACCAAGACCGTGCAATCATGATGAATCACAAAAAGAAAAATAAACCAATCTCTGAACAAGAAATAAAATCTAGAATTTATATTTACATTTACAACAGAGAAATCTTATTTGCAACCACTGATCTCTAACCGTCAGAGAAAAAGTTCTGACCAAGTGTACCGCGTCATTCGTTCATGGATTTAACACATTTATCAAACAAGTGTTAAACATGTGGCATCGAGCCAAGTTAATACTATACTTGTATGTTTTCAATAAGCTAGGTCACGGTTTAGGCAAGGAGACATTTTGTGGATAAATACAAAAAAAAGCTATGCTAAAGTTATTAACAGAGTCCCACAGCGGCATAAACTTCCTGAGATGACATGCAACTTGAGCCTTATGTCTGCCAGATGAGTGAGACTAGACTGTGCATGGTTATGCAAGGAGAGGGTGCAGGGGAGGGGTGGCAGACAACACAGGAGACTGCTCCAAGGTTAGAGTGAAGAAAAAGCAGACATCATTCAGATTATCATTTAGCGTTGTAGAAACAGGATGTCCATTTAATCCCAATTCTCTCACTTTGGCACACCTAACGCTATTATCACGGCTAATAGTTACTGAGCACTTTACAGACATATGTATGGACTCCTAACGTAAAACCAATGAGATAGGGTTTTACAGATAAGAAAACCTAGGTCCAAAGAGATGAAATGTTTTGTCCAGTATCACATGGCTAGTAACAGATAAGGCTAGGACTTAAAACCAAGTAGTCCAACTTGAGAGTTGGCACAAGGATATCCCTCGCTCGGATGTGTTAACCCATGCCCATTATCATCTGATTCCCCCCTCACAGGAGGACATGCAGAGCTACCCTGAGGCTCTCCTCAGTCATTTACAAGATCGAGGATCTGGGTATGTGACGGTGCCCCCATGCAGATTCCCAGTGCATCTTGTCCAGGTGTGCACAAATATTTTAACTCTTTCCCCATAGATTTCTTCTCCCCACTAAGCACAACCTTCCCTTTCCTTCCAGAATGCTGGGGAAGTCTGTATCAGCCTCTACTAGTAAGAAGGAGAGTTACGAATGTTAGGTTTGAAGGAGAGCTAGTTTTTACCCCACGTCAAAGAGAGAACATAAACTAACACTCCTGTTAAGCCTAAAGAGAAGAAAATTAATTCAACTTCGCAAATGTGAAATCAAACGATACCTTTAGTCCCTCCAATTCATTTTCCAGTTGCTTAGAATAGTGCTCGCTCTGTTCACGCAATTTCCTGTCTTTAGATGCTTCAGCAGCCACAGCTTCTGAATGAACTTCCAGCTTTAAAATAAAATGAACAAAGCGGATTTCATGGTTATACCTGTTTTTTCCAGTAAAATGCTTTTTCCCCCATGGGAATTTACCTTGTCACAAGAAGATAACTCAAATGTTGATGTTCACGTTAAGTAAAATTATCCAACAAGAAAACTGTTTTTAAGAATTCAAGCATGATATACACATCATTTCACTCATCTGAAAAAGCAGCTTTAATCACTACCCCCTGGGCACTGGACAATCTGCCTGACTACTAACCTCTTTCTTGGCTCTCTCTGTCCTGCGCAGTTCTTGCCTTAAGCTTTCAACTTTTTGCATCACTAGGTCCACCTCTTCTTCCTTATCTCGGACATGGCGAGCAAGTTTCTGTTTTTGGGTGTGCAACTCTGTTAGCCGCTCATTGATCTCCATGAATTCCTGCATGGCCAGTTTCCTCTGACAGTGTGCGTCTTTCAGCTCTTTGGACTGGTTTTTTAATCGCTCACTAGCCTGGACTAGTTCCTACGGTTTCGTAAAAAGAATATAAGTTACCAATTCTGCAACCTAGGGACCAATTTTGGCCCTCAAAGCAGCCATCATGAAATCATGAAGAGCCAAAATTATTCATCTCAGGACAAAATGAAAAGGAATCAACTACTTTTGAACAGATATTAACAGCGTGGTGCTCTGTTCGCGTTCTCAGCTCCTTATGCTCATCTGCTAACTGCGATGGCACAGCTGATCGAACCTTCTAGTACCTTAGTTTCTACAAACAAATAAAGTGTATAGGAATACCAGAGGTGATGGTCAAAATAAAGATTTTGTGAAATGTAATGGATACTTGTGAGATGTTTGAAAATTATATTGAATCACTACAAATGATAAAAAACAAGGAATGCTCTTATGTGGAGACTATGCCTTAGGCCAGAAGCAAGGAGAGAAAGCTAAATAAACCCCCGGATGAAAGTGGGAGGAGAGAGCTTAAGAAGACTCAGGTCAGGACAACCACTGGCCTCCGGGCAAAAGGAAATGCAAATCCTTTTGGAGAAAAGAGCCCCGATGAAACGTAGGTTTTTTAAGACACACAACTATGAGCGCACAACCACAGATTCCCAAAACCCAAAGAACAAACGACCATAAGCAAAGAACAGAAACAATAATAATAAACTCCAATGGGATTCGGACATTCAAATTGTCAAATACTAACATAAAATGGAATGTTTGAGAAAGTAAAAAAAAAAAAAAATCGTGAAAATGGGAAAATGACAAAAGACTATTAAAAATGACCAGGGAGACTTATAAACAACTGTAGAGAACATTTAGAAATGGGAAAAATACAAGTGCTAAAACTAAAGACCTGAATCTGGCAATAAAGTAAGCTCTATATTTATGAAGCAAGAAAAAGTGTTAAGGCTCAAACCCAGAAACTTTTTTTTTTTAATTTTTTTTTCAACATTTTTATTTATTTTTGGAACAGAGAGAGACAGAGCATGAACGGGGGAGGGGCAGAGAGAGAGGGAGACACAGAATCGGAAACAGGCTCCAGGGTCTGAGCCATCAGCCCAGAGCCCGACGCGGGGCTCGAACTCACGGACCGCGAGATCGTGACCTGGCTGAAGTCGGACGCTTAACCGACTGCGCCACCCAGGCGCCCCAAACCCAGAAACTTAAAAAGAAATAAAATTGCATAGCACCAAATAAAAACAGATGACCTTAAAGGAAATCAGTGAAAAAAGACAAATCCTCTACCCTCTACCCTCTAAAACAAAAGGACAGACAGAGCAGACACTTAAGAAGTAACAACAGAAACAGGGAAAATGGAAAGAGTGAAGAAAAGTAATTAAAACTGTGTACCCAGAAAAATTCCTGTTCACGTACGAGGCTAAAATAATTAGATTCATATAAACGAAAATGGACAGAATCACCATCAGATCTGTGCTAAATAGGAACCTCTAAAGATTTCTCTCAGGGAAAAGAAAAATAATTTTAAAAGCAAAGTCTATGGGAATGCAAGCTGGGGCAGCCACTCTAGAAAACAGTATGGAGGTTTCTCAAAAAACTAAAAACAGAACCACCCTACGACCCAGCAATGGCACTACTAGGCATTTCTCCACGGGATACAGGGGTGCTGTTTCAAAGGGACACATGCACCCTTATGTTTATAACAGCACTATCAACAATAGCCAAAGTATGGAATGAGCCCAAAGGTCCATCGATGGATGAATGGAGAAAGAAGATGTGGTATGTATGTATGTATGTGTGTGTGTATATATACACACACACACACACACACACACACACACACACACACACACACAATGGAGTATTACTCGGCAATCAAAAAGAATTAAATCTTGCCATTTGCAACTACGTGGATGGAACTGGAGGGTATTATGCTAAGTGAAATTAGTCAGAAAGACAAACATCATATGACTTCACTCATATGAGGACTTTAAGAGACAAAACAGATGAACATAAGGGAAGGGAAACAAAAATAATATAAAAACAGGGAGGGGGACAAAACAGAAGAGACTTATAAATATGGAGAACAAACTGAGGGTTACGAGACGGGGGATAAATGGGTAAGGGGCATTAAGGAATCTACCCCTGAAATCATTGTTGCACTATATGTTAACTAATTTGGATGTAAATTTAAAAAAATAAAAAATAAAATTAAAAAAAAAGCAAAGTCTAACGACAGAGAAATGGGAGAGCCAAAACACTTGTGAACATAAATATGAATGTAAATATGCAGAGAAGACTGTATTATAAACATGTCTCATTTGCAGAGTAAACAGAAAGGATATAAGTAAAATACTGTCAAAAATAACACAACAGTTGGAAAGAAGTAACAGAATTAGAGGTCCTTAAATTTTGGGGGAGATAATAATTGAGACTTTGTGAAATATGCATGATAATATTCAAGAGCAACAATTAAAAACTGTTAAAACAAGTAGTGAGAAATGTGGGAACAAAAACAAAAACTCAATTAAATTTCAAGAAAAAATTATGCAAGATGGAAAAATTCTGGAGATTAGTTGCACAACAACATGAATATAATTTACACTGCTGAACTGTACATTTTAAAAATGGTTAGGATAGCATTCCATAGGACAGACTCAAAATAGATTGCAAAGAAATTGCAAAATCATCATAGAAAAATTGGTGAACACATGATAATGAGAAATTTTGACTTGACAATCATTAATAGATAAACCAAGCAGTTAAAAAATACTGAATATAGAGATTATCAAACTTCATATATAGATGCTTGCACCCAATATTGGGAACATACATTCTTTTCAGGCATATAGTGAATATGTGAAAATGGAACAGTCTGTTTAGGCCATGAAACAAGTCTCAGCAGATTTCAAAGAACAGATATCAACAGTTCAAGTTCTTTGATAATATCACCATTACAATAGAAATTTCTAAAAAGGCTAAATTCCATAATACCTCATTGGTCAAGGAGAAAAGTCATAAAGCATGTTAAAATATTTAGAACTAAAAAAAAAAAGTTGAAAATATAAACAATAAAAATGTTCAGCACATATAATAAAATGAGAATGCAGTAAAAGGTTTACTTAGGGGGAGATTTATAGCTTGAAACACTTGTATTGAAACAAACAAAAGTTTAAATTTAGTGAAATTCCACACAGAAAGAGACAGAACACACTAATGCTTCCACCAACATAAGATGATAATAAAAATAAGAACATAAACTAATGAAAAAGAAATGTTATAATGAACATCAACAAAGCCAAAAGTTGAGAAAAATAATAAAATAGGCAAATACCTGGTGAGATCAAACAAAGAATAAATGCAAAAAGAAACAATGTTAAGAAAGAAAAAAAGACTATGACTACAAACCTGGAAAAGATTAAAAAAGCTAATAAAAGGATACAGTGAAAACTTTATGCCAATAAATTTGTTAACTTTTGAAATGAATGAATTCCTACAAAAATACAATTCATCAAAACTGCTTCAAGAAGAAACAGAATCCCTCAATAGTCCTGTAATGATTAAAGTACCTAAATAATAGTTAACAAACTCTCCCCATCCCCTCAGAGGGAGAGAATTTCCAAACTCAGATGGTTTTACAAGTGATTCCTTTCAAGGAACAAACATTATTATACAAACTTTTCTAGAGAAGAGAAAAAGAGGCAATGCTACACAACTCATTCTAGGAGACCAATATAATCTTGATACCATAAAAAACACCAGAAAAATAAAAGAAAAAAATTACAAGCCAATTTTACTGATAAAAACAAATCAAATATTAAAAAAAAAAAAACAAAAAAACACGGCATCAGCAAATCAGCTTCAGTGATATATAAAGTAGATAAGCATGAACTCTGGACTTAAACTTCTTGTGTTGGAATTCTAGCTCCATCACTTTCTAGCTCTATGATCTTGAGCAAGTGAGCTCAAGTGTACACTTAAGCAAGTGTATTTGACCTCTCTGTGCATGGTCTCATCATTTATAAAATACTAATAACAACAGCAGCAACAACAACAATACCTAAATCACAAGGCTCTTATAAAGATTAAATGATCCAATATACGTAAAACACTCCAATAGCAGTGCCATTACATAAGTGTTACATACACTGGCATATTGTTATTTAGGAGGTAATATATGCACAATTGTGGTTTAACCCAGAAATGCAAAAATGGCTTAACATTAGAAAAAGTCTATAAATATAACTTACCAAACCAAGTCATTAAAGAACAATCATATAATCACATCAATAAATATTAACAAATTCCTAGCAATCTGTTGTAATAGCGTACAGAAGAGCGTATTTAATAAGTCCGATACCCATTATAAAAATGATTAGCAAAATAGGAATAGAAGAGAACTTTCTTAACCTGATAAGAAGTGTTTACCAAAAACTTACAGAAAACATTATTAGTGGTGAAACAGTAAAGGCATTTTCTTTGAAACCAGGACTAAGACAGGAAAGCCTGCTATCACCAGTTCTATTCAACACTGTACTGTGGGTCCTAGCTAATACAGTGAGACAAGGAAAGAAAGAAAAGTCATAAAAATTAAAAGAAGAAACAAAACCGTCATTATTTGCAGAAAACCCTAAGAATCTCAAATATATTAGTACAATTAATAAGAATTTAGCAATGTTGCCGAAGCAAAATCAGTAAGAAACTATAAAGATACCATTTAAAATATGAAAAAAATAGAACAGTAAATTTAAAGGCAAATGAGACCTACATTAAAATTTTATGTTAAAACATTTAAGATGTTAAAGATATGGTGAAATCTACCAAGTCTGCGGATGGAAAGACCGTGGGGCTCCAGAGGAAAGATTTTTATGGTTTTGTACAGACAGACCTTCCTAAAACTTTGTACTGAAAGTTGGGACCTGGGCTAAAAGCAAGCCTTATAAATTTATGACTAATTTAGAATGAGAAACTCGAAGAGATTTAACTCCTGGATGTATGTGCTTATATTTCAACAGAGGTGGGAGAGAGGAACCTGGATCAGGGAGCCACCCTCTTTATAGAGCTGTAGGCTCTGGGCTTATCTTTCCCACTGGAGTGATTTATTTATATTCCAAAGGGTCCTAGACTCTTCTCTTTACATTTGCAAGGAGACTCTCAGAAGGATGGGTAGAGATGATGGGGGCAGGGAGTAGGAAGCATCTGCTTCTCCTCCTTTATATAAAACACCCTCAGGTTTTTAGGATTCCTCATCCACAACACAGACTCCATACATATACAGATGTATATACATACATCTAAATATATGTGCGTGTGTGTGTGTGTGCGTGTGTGCGCACGTGCGTGTGTGTGTGTATAGGGCTTTATCTATCCAGCTCTCGTTGCACTGCCCCAGAGGTAAGACAGCACCCAGGGGAGCAGTGTGCGTATTTCTGCTGTATGTACATCACAATACTATGCTCCGGTCTTGAAATCTGTGTGTGCGTTTGGAATAATATTAATAAATGTGGACAGTAAGAACCTAAAGATTCAATGTTGTAATGATGTCAGTTCTCCTGAAATGACTCTACAGATTTAACACAATTTTAATCAAGATCTCATCACAGTTTTTAAGGAATGGAGAGGTGAGATAACAGAGTCATGCATAAATGGAAATGTGACAGGTGACGCTGCACGTCACTGTGGAAAAGAGGGCCTATTTAGTAAATGAACAACTATTAGCTACAGAGGAAAATCTGAAATTGGATCCCTATATCTCACATGATATGAAAAAATAAATCTGGTATGTTAAAATTTAAATACCAAAGGCCAAACTTTAAAACGTCAAAATAAAAACCGAGAACTTTAAAAAAAAAACAACTGAGAATTTTAGCCTTAGGTTTCTTACATGAGCCAGCAAATCTCTAAAAAGAAAGATCAATATAGTTGACTACATTAAAACTCAGAACTTCTGTTACTCAAAAGCTCCCATAAAGAAAATGAAAAGTCAAGCCTCTAACTGGGAGGCATCTTAATATACACAACTGACAAAAGATCAATATAGAAATTTTCAAGAATTCTTAACCAACCAGTAAGAAAAAAACAAAAAAACCCAACAGGAAAATGTACAAAAGATACTGAGAGGCATTTCACAGAAGAAACAGAACTGATAAGTGGGCATACGTGAGATACTCAACCTCATTAGTAATTGGAGAAATTAAGACCATAAATAGAACGTTCTAGACCTAAAATACGAACTTCAATGGGGTTGGCCAAAATAAACTATCTAGTAACATGAAGTATTGTTGAATATAGACCGGGTGGTGGGAGTGGGAGTGTAAATTGGTACAATCTGTGGAAAACGATTTGGCATTACCATAAAAAACAGAATATTTGCATTACTTATGACCCAATTATTCTACTCGTGATTCTGTGTACAAGTGTGTGCGTATCAGCATACATATTCAAGAACGTTCATTTATAGTGGCTATCAAGTGTAAGCAACTTTAATGTCTGTAGACAAACAACTGAATAGATAGATTCTGGAGCGTTCACATAATGGTGTACCATACAGCAGATAAATGAGTGCTCTACAGTCCCATGGATGCATCTTAGAAATACAACGAGTGAAACAACAAACTGTGCAAAACTGCACGTACCACTTTACACAGCTCAGAAACAAGCCACACCAAATAACGTATGTGTATTTTCATTTCCTGTGGCATTAAAAATTCTTTAGCCACCAGGTTTAATGGCTATATAATATTTCATCATATGAACTGGTCGGGCATTTTGGCAGTTTCTAATATTTTTCTTTTATAAATGTGGTAATTTGTTCTCTGTGAACAAATCTTTGCTTCAATGTCTGATTATCTTCTTGAGTTACATTTCGACAAATGGAATTATTATATCAAGGACTTTAGTATTTGAAGGCTTTGGATACCTGTTGCAAATTAGCTTTCCAGAAATAAGGTATCAGATTACAAGCTCATCTTCAGCATTTGGCACTGGCATTTTTATTTGTTTTCACTGAAGTATAACGAGCATAGAACGTTATGCTAGTTTCAGGTGCACAACATAGTGACTGGACAGTTCTGTACGTTACTCAGTGCTCACTGTGATAGGCATAGTTACCCTCTGTCACCACACAGTGCTGTTAGAGTATTATATCCCCTATGCTCTACTTGTTATCTCCTATTATACATTATTTAGAGATTATAGTACTAAGGGATAAAAAGTATTTTTCAATAAGGAAATGACGGACAATAAGGAGAAGGGGATAAAAAAAATGACTGGCCAGGGCTATGCCACAAAATTCATAATGTTCCTATTCCTTAAGTTAGATGGTCGGTTCAGAGACAGGCATTATATTATGTGCATCAAAACTCCTATAATGTTACGTTTATTCTTTTATATGTATCTAAAGAAAAAAATGTTAAAAAGATTATCTGCTGCCTGTAGGATATTAAGCATATCCCTTAAAATACCAATATAATATTTCTTTTTAGCACTACCCTCTTCTCAAAATATGCTAAAAAAGGATTTTTAACATTAAAACTTAATAAAATTGGCAAGATACTTGTTACTATAAATCTAGATGTTGGATTCTCATCTTTTTTATGTTTACTAAGTTTGGCTGAATAATCCTACCTTTATATACACAACAGCTACCACTAATATTATTATAATATTACTATAATATTACTAAAACAAATATAACATCTGTTATAAATTCCAAATTTTATTAAGTTGACCATGAATTTAAATGGATCTGTACACAAAACTGCTTATAATTGCATTAAGAAAAAAGCAAAAAGATACTAATCAAATTCAATTTAACCTTTACAGCTTTCTCTGTCAGTCTTTTCTATTAGCTTCATCAGCAAAAGGTTATTTGTTTTATTTTTAATTGCCTCCATTTCTTTACTGGCAGCAAGACTTTAAGATCTTCTCCAAAAGAACTTCATTATATTATCAATTATATACCGCATCACTGAATACAATTTACGTAAGCCATAAACCACTCATTTCTTTTTTGTGTTGGCTAGTATTAATTCCAACATTTTAAAATTTGTTAATGAAAGGCAAAGTACACATTCTGAGTGGTTTAAGTAAAATGTTTTTCTCTGGTGTGTATTACTTATGGGATGTGTTAGGTTGTCTTTGCTATTAATAAATTTTGTTGATGCTTCTAATACTGTTTAAGTATTATATCAAGTTCTTATGAAAATAACTTTAGCTTCTTCATCCGTGCTTTGAAAGATAAACTGACATTTTAAAAAATAATTAAAACATTAAAGAAATTTTTTATTCTAATCTTTTAAGAATGTTCATATCAGTAAATCACAATGAAAATATGCCTTTAGTTTTTATTTGTCCAAAGACATGACACATATCTCACTGTTTGCTTATTCCGTAATATTTTTTAAAACATTTACTTTTTTTAAATTTTTGTTTTCAACGTTTTTATTTATTTTTGGGACAGAGAGAGACAGAGCATGAACGGGGGAGGGGCAGAGAGAGAGGGAGACACAGAATCGGAAACAGGCTCCAGGCTCTGAGCCATCAGCCCAGAGCCTGACGCGGGGCTCGAACTCACGGACCGCGAGATCGTGACCTGGCTGAAGTCGGACGCTTAACCGACTGCGCCACCCAGGCGCCCCTAAAACATTTCCTTTTAATCAAGTCCTTTGATTAGACTTTTCAAAAGAACAGATGATTCTGAATGTTAAAAATCTTGACAGTATGTAAATGTCTTCATTACTAGCTATTACTCAAATGACACATACCAAAATAATTAAACATTTTACAACATATACTTTATGTTCTTGTAACTCATTACGAAAGCTTTTAGAATACAAATTAAGTAAGATTAAGAATCTAAAACCGGGTTTAACAATGTATCCATGTATTTTTACCTTGTTTAATTCTTCCCTTTCTTGTTGTAGTGTTTTGATTTGTTTTTCATAAGCCTTGATTTGCCTAAAAGCATCATCTAGCTCTCTCCTCACAGCGTTGGCTTCCTCAAGTTGCTGTTCCAAGTGACTCGATTCTAAAAAGAGACAACAGTGTTTATGTTAGTATTCATATAAAAACAAATGCTTGAAACCAAGGTTTTAAACAACTAAGTTGAAAAAAATAACTATCCTGAATTTGGTATCAGGCTTATAGACACCCCTTCCAGTATGACTATAACTCACGACAATTAAGTGCTTGTCAAGTTCACTGAAGAAAGGGTACGGCTAATATCAGTGTGAAAGTGTGTAACACTTGCATGAAAAACGTCTTACATTTCTGTTAGAAAAAGAAGACCATACTTCCAGAAAAGTACCTTCAGAGCCAATTAAAAGCTTAAAACTATCAAAAAAATCAAAAGCAACCAACTGGACAAAACAGACCCATTTTCCTCTATGTTTGGTTATCAGCGTTCCTGCGCTGACTTTAGCCAAATTATTATTAAGACGACTGTGCTTCTCATGGCTGCAGGCCAGTTTCACTAGCGGTTATCTGAAGAACAAAGTCTGATTTCGGAAAGTAAATACGCGAACGCCTCTGATCTAGGTCAGCTCCTCCATTTTCTAGAAGAAGAAACTGAGGCCAGGAGAGCTGGATATCTGGCCTGAGGTCACACTGCTAAATGGGTCTTGGAGCGGAGACGAGGACTCAGGAAATCCTGCATCGGCCTCTTCTTCTGGGAAAGCGACAATTCTTAACATTATCACTTCAGAAGAGTTATTACGAAACAGAACAGCCTCACTCATTTGAACACACTGCCTGCATAAAATTGGATAAATTGACACGAAATAGTCACAGCATCAGAAGTAGGTTGGCAAGCTGAAGAACTGAAGCCCACAAAACCGAGAAATCTACACACATTCACTGTCAATTTCTGTTCTTTACAAAACCTTCCCACTGGGAGAGTCATCCCCACACAGTAGCAGGAACACCTGCGAGCTTGCCAGAAATGCAGAATCTCGGGCCTCAACCCAGACCTAATGAATCAGATCCGTATTTTAACAAGATCCCCCGGGTCTGGCAAATTCAGGTGTGGGAATAGATGATGCACAAAGTATTGTGTATTGCTGAGTCCAACGCTTTCAATAAATGAAGTCACGTTCATAAGACACTGGTCCTACCATAAAGAGATTTTGTGTGTATAGAGAGTCCTGTAGCCAAGAAGTCACTTAAATGCGTTAGCGTATCCCATACTAACTGCTGCTGGAGTCCTTCAACAAAACAATTTACTGATATTCAGTGCCCTAAATTTATAGATTTATTAAGAGCTTATTGATCTGAGGTGTTTTGAGAGTGTAGGTGCATTTATGGATACCACGGTTTTCAACGATTTTCAACAACATCTGTGAAGTTGCATGTAACTAGTTTTTGTTCTGTCTCAACAGAATAACTTTAGCAGTCTAATTTAATAAATGTTTTACTTGAAGAACACTGCAACATCACAGGATGTTTAACCTTAAAGATCATGGGATATTTAGTCTTATGTTCAGCAAAGTATATTTTATCATTTTCTCAAGTTTCAGCATTTCCTGCAGGAATTTTTCTGTTTATAATAATTTCCTTGAAACATTTTTAAGTGATACTTTCCTGTTATTTTAAGGTTTTAACATTTTTAAGATGTCAAAAGTTTATTTTTTTTTAATTTTTTTTTTTAACGTTTTTATTTTTGAGACAGAGAGAGAGCATGAACGGGGGAGGGGCAGAGAGAGAGGGAGACACAGAATCGGAAGCAGGCTCCAGGCTCTGAGCCATCAGCCCAGAGCCCGACGCAGGGCTTGAACTCACGGACCGTGAGATCGCGACCTGAGCTGAAGTCGGACGCCTAACCGACTGAGCCACCCAGGCGCCCCTCAAAAGTTTATTTCTTAAAAAAATTTTTTTTCAACATTTATTTATTTTTCGGACAGAGAGAGACAGAGCATGAACGGGGGAGGGGCAGAGAGAGAGGGAGACACAGAATCGGAAACAGGCTCCAGGCTCTGAGCCATCAGCCCAGAGCCTGACGCGGGGCTCGAACTCACGGACCGCGAGATCGTGACCTGGCTGAAGTCGGACGCTCAACCGACTGCGCCACCCAGGCGCCCCTCAAAAGTTTATTTCTAATAATTAGGAGTCAAAATTTGGTATGTGACATGGCTGACTTTTGTCCTTTGAGGGTCTAACTTTGGTCCTGTTCACGGCTACGGTGTGCCAGCCTGAAGCAATAGGATGGTATGCATTGTGATCCCGTCTCATTCGCCTACTTTCTTCTACTCTTTTCCCCAGCGTGGTGAAGGTTTTCTGCAAATTACTGAGTCATTCGCTTATCTCAACTGCTTTTCATTAGCAACAAAAATGAAATCAGTGTTTTATAAACTGTCTGCATCACATCAAGTTTACAGCAAAACGACTCCATGAGGCGGCTTCGGTGGAGGCCTTCAGTGGTTTATGGTTCCCTTTCAATGTGGGTTAAATTCTGGTTTTCTCTCAGCCATGTCACTTTGGCTGCTTTGCAATGGAGTTGGTAAGTGTATCTGTGAATTATATGTCAGGTTTTCGTGTTTCACACAGAAGGGTTGGAGAAGACAAGCTCACTCGATTATTTATAAAAGCTTCCAATCTGATACACACAGAATTATGCATTCCCCAAAGATAAAAACCCCAACTCAAGAAAAATCCAGAATACACTGAATTTTGGCCGACAACTATCAAATGGCTAAGGCACATGAACATTTACTTTCACTACAACAAATGGTGAATTCAATGAAGACTTTGAAAGAAATCCTCAGTGGAGCGCCTGGGTGGTTTAGTTGGTTGGGCATCTAACTTCGGCTCAGGCCATGATATCTCGGTTTGTGAGTTCGAGCCCCACATCAGGCTCTGTGCTGACAGCTCGGAGCCTGGAGCCTGCTTGGGATTCTGTGTCTCCCTCTCTCTCTGCCCCTCCCATGCTCATGCTCTGTCTCTCAATAATAAATAAAAAACGGTAAAAAAAAATTTTTTTTTAAATAAAAAAAGAAAGAAAGAAAGAAATCCTCAGACACTATCAAAAAATACCTCACGCAACACGATGAGCCATATCATTCTAGGCCAAGTAACTAAAAAGCAGTTTTCGTGAGTAAAGAGCAGAAGCAGACCAGCACAACAAGCTAGCACGCTCCAAACAAATGGTTCCTAGCTCACTGCTGCTAGGACAGCTGGGAAATTCAATCGTTCCTATGAGGATTTAATAAGGGACAAAAACACAATAAGGAAATTTTCTTTGCACTGTGTGGCATGGAAGAGAAATATTAAATAGACTCTGTCTTGAAGGAGATAACCAGGTCAGGAAGATAAAGAGTAACACCCCACAAATCATAAATGAAGCAGAAACACAAATGTAGATCATGTGGCAGGTTCTATGGGAGCTAGGGGAGGAGGACCGGGGAAGAGGCCACGGCTACCGCGGGACTCGATGTGGAGCACGGACGACCCGCGAGGGGAGAGGACTGTGACCAGGGCGGCGTTAGAAGCACAGTCAAAGCACCTCTCCCTGATCTGTGCAGACACAGTATCACCACTTCTCCCTTGCGTTCTGATTCCTAAAATAACCCAGGACTCTTCTGAGATGGGAAGAGATCTGACTTCCAATCATGACGGGGAAACAGGTTCCCCTATACCTACCCCTATCCCTCCATTCCCTATCCTTCTCCTTCATTTACATGATGCAGGGCAGTGTGTGTGTGTGTGTGTGTGTGTGTGTGTGTGTGTGTGTGTGTGTGAGAGAGAGAGAGAGAGAGAGAGAGAGAGAGAGAGACAGAGGGAGAGGGGAATAGTTTAGGGTTGCAGAGACAGACAAACCACCCATCTCCAGGCAACAAAAGAAAGGGGGTTACAAAGCACATTAGAGATTACAATAATTATTCAGGAAACAAGAAACCATTCCCGTATCTTCTCAGGGAAAAATATCAAATGATTGGGTATGAATTTATACTTTCATCTGCTGAGTGTCCATTAGATGACACAAGGAAATTCTGTCTTACCTTCTTGGGAGTTTGGAGTGTGATAAGGAAAGAAGATTTTAAAAAGAAATTTTAAGTAATTATAACTTTATTAAAATTTTCTAGGAGTCTCAATATATTGGAGAACACTGCCATAGGGAAAGAAAAGATATACAGGCACTGGTGGTGTGTAATTGTCTACACAAAGATCTAGCTTAAGAAGTAGCTAACAGAAGGTGATTTGGGGGCACCGACTCTTGATTTTGGCTCAGGTCGTGATCTCACAGCTCCTGAGATCGAGCCCCAAGTTGAGCTCTGTGCTGACAGTGCATAGCCTGCTTGGGATTCTCTCTCTCCCTCCCTCCCTGTTTGCCCCTCCCCCGCTCATACATACGGTCTCTCGCTCTCAAAAAAATACATAAACTTAAAAAAAAAACAAAGGTGATTTGGACTTTTCTTTAAAGCCAGGACTATAGTCAAGGCTACTCATAGGGCAGGTTCCTAGAAGAGCCTGTTTTCTATTATCTCTAGCTTTTACATCGAAATGTTTAGGACAGCATGGGTTTAACTGTGAATGAGACACAGAGGTTATCCCCAGCCTTACCACTCTGCCTCCAGTACCGAGTATAATTTCTGGTACGGAACAATACCTCAATAAGGATGTTTATGGGCTGAACTGAGAAGGACTGTGTTGCCAGTGGGAACATGATGGCACAGCCACTGTGGAAAACGGTTCGGCAATTCCTAAAAACACTGAACATGAATTTCTGTACAAATTCAGGAATTCTACTTCTGGACTTGATATATGTTCCCTCATGTGCAAGGCGGCACTTTTTGCAATAAACAAAATGGGAAAGCAACCCAAGTGCATCGGTGACGAACGTAAAAACAGAAGGGAGTGTTTGCATACACACAGAATGTTGTAGAAGACAGGAAATCCGACACAGGCTACAACATGGGTGAACCGTGAAGACGCTGCTAAGTGAAGTCAGCCAGCCATGGAGGGACAAATACTTTATGACTGCACTCACGTGAGGCTCCCAGAGCAGTCAAATGCAGAGACGCAGAAAGAACGGCG